TGCAGTTGAGGTGGGAGGGAGAGGGAACTCCACCATTAAGGGGGAGGATGGCTGAGTTGATTCTGGAGATGGGGTTTAAACCTGTGATGTTTTTGCTTTGATCTGCCCAGTCGGCAGTTATGAATACGATTTATTGTTTGTAAAACCAGAAGGTCTGGATCTTTTTTGGGAGAGGTATAGGAAGTGCAAGGGCCTTCAGCAGTGGAGAGGTTTGGTGCCAAAGGTGGTTTCAAGGCAGCCTTTGATAAAATCAGTGACAATCCTGGTCCGTAATGAATCCATACTAGAGGCTGATTTGATAGTGTGGCTACGCTGATATGGCGAGGTCCTCACTCCACTGCGGAAGATCCTGGATGAGCATGGGATATGGACAGGGGCTTGGACAGTGTCGCTGCAATGGAGGGTGCTGTGCAATAAGGTTCAGCATCTGCCCTGCTCAGCCTTTCTGGGGAGGGATTGCCTGGCCCTTTTTCTATCAGGGTCAGCCTAAGGTTTGTAATAAATGTGGAGAGAAGGGACACTTTGCATCATCCTGTACCATCAAGAAGTGCTCACTGTGCCAGGATTTAGGCCATTTGGCCAAAGAATGCACCCAGATTCGGTGCAATTTGTGCCAGCAGCTGGGTCATCCATAAAGTCAGTGCACTACATAACCTGCCAGGATTGGAGGCTGAGCTGCAGAGGCTGGATAAAGAAGATGAGGCAGCTGATGCTAGGGAGGAAACTGTTGTTGCCCCTCCTGTGTCTCTTGTGTCAGATTCTGATTCTCCTAGTAACGTCATCCCTGTGTCTGTCCCTCCAGTTCCTAATCCTAATCTTCTGCCTCAGTCTACTCCAGCTCCAGTACCTGTCCCACAACAGCACAAACGGGGTCAGGAGAGTGTGGGGGTGCTGGATGGGGGTGGAGCCGATGGGGATCAGGGCAGGGTGTCCATGTCCCATGTCTCACCTGCTGAAGGGGATTCAGCTGATGAGGGGTGGGAGAGGGTCAAGAGGAAGAAAAAGAAGAAGAGGAGGATGAGAAGAGCTGTCCATTCTTCCTCAGAATCAGACCCAGAAGGCGTCCCTCTTGGCAACACCTATTCAGTTTTGTCAGGTGATGAGATGGAGTCTGATGTATCAAATTCTTTATCATCTATGGATGAGGAGGAGTCACATAGTCTGAAGAGAACTGTTTCAGGTGATAAGCATGTGGCAGAGGTTAAGAAACGACTACCCCAATCATCCTGATGGCAGTTCCCACTCCATTAAAAGTGGCGACCATTAATGTCGCCAGCATTAAATCTGCAAGAGCTCATGATATGGCCTTATTTTTGCTCAGTGAGTTTGATGATGGGACTTTATATTTGCAAGAGACCTAGCTCAATTCATTGTCCAATATCTATCTAGCAAAAAGGGAGTAGAGAACTGGTCCCTCCTTTTGGTCTCTTGCAGCTGAGCCTTACAGCAGAGTTGCGGTGCTTTTTTAAAACCGATATGGTAACGTGCCAGCTGGCAATTGAGGTAGAAATGGGGAGATGCATTGTCTTAGACATCTCTGTTAGGGGGCAGATCAATATCTGATCAATATCTAGCCACTGCAGTCAAAATGGGACAGGAAATGCCTCCTCAGAAAGAATTTTACAAGTGTTTTAAGTCCATTCTGGCTCGCTTTTTAGCGGAGGTTTTTAACAGCTGTCTAGAAGAGGGTTCACTCCCTCCTTCCATGAGGCAGTCCACTGTGATTCTTCTGTCAAAAGGTAAAGATCCCTTAATGATTGAGAACTGGAGCCCCATCAATCTTCTCAATGTTGATAGAAAGATCTTGGCAAATATTCTTTTTTGGCACCTGTCGTCAGTAGCAGTATTTGTTGTTCAGCCATCAGCACTGTTCGGTCCAAAGTAGAAGTACCTTTTCAGCAGTTTTGGCTGTCCGGGAGGCTTTGGAGCAATGCAGGACTGCTGGATGGAGAAAGTGTTTGCTGGCATTGGATCAGGCAAAAGCTTTTAATCCAGTGAATCATGAATATCTGTGGTTGCTACTTGGTAGATACAGCCTGCAGGGGAGGTTTATAGATTGGCTGAAGACATTATATAGAGGGGTTAATGATTGGGTTGTTAATGATTGGGTTGGATGACCTTTTGAGGTTTGCTCTGCTGTGCACCAAGGATGTCCTTTGAGTCCCCTGCAATCGACCCCTTTGTAAGAAGGCTAGAGGGTGGATCATTGTGTGGGGTGCCTTTGGGCATTGCTGGTGCACAGCCTTTGAAGGTCCTGGCCTCTGCCAATTATGTGTCTGTTATTGTCTCTGGGACTGAGGAGGCACAGGAGGTGGTCTCTGTGATAGAGCAGTACATGGAGGCTTCTGGCTCTAAAGTCAACAATGAAAAGAGTGAAGTTTTCTGGATGGATGAGGAGGGTGAAAGCTTCAAACGTCAGGATGCCTTCCTGGAGCCCCAGCAGTAAATTAAAGTGTTCGGCATCAAATTTGGTCCTGGTGACTATGGTCATTGAAATTGGGAAAGCAGGTTGGTGGATGCCAATGCCAAAGTATCGAGCCTGGAAGAGATGGAGGCTCTCCTTGAGGGAGAGGGTTGACTTCATTAAAAATTATCTGATCCAGATCTTTCTATATGTCAGCTTCATCTGTATCTTGCTGGTATCTCTCTATGCAAGGGTCCACAGCTGTCTTTTCTAACTATTATGGGAAAATAGGCTGAACCTGATCAAATGCAATGTAACTTACCTGTCCAGGTGGGAGGGTGGCCTGGGAATGGTCAACGCAATAGTTTTTTCTTTACTCTTTTTAAAGTACAATCTTGGTAATATGTTAGCAAAGACCCTGTTGGGATGGGTGGGTATTGTTCAATCTTGGTTTAAGCCTTTTCTGCTCTGCTGGGAAGATGGCAGGCCAGTGAAAAGTCTGAGAGTCTGACATGGCAAGCTCATGGCTTATGTTGCCCCGTGTCTGAAAATACTTCAGCAGTGGCAGGTGACAGTGGAGGATATCAGGTCCCTTCCCAGGAAGCTTCTGGAGGAGAGGATTTTGGCTTCTGCTTTGTGTGTCACTGGCCTTAAAGGATTGCCCAGGCTCCGTAATGAGGGAGGGGTTGCGTTTAATTAATTTGGAGAGAATCCCTTTGAAGTTTAGGGATCAAGCCTGGCTCGTTTTCCATGGAAGGCTCTATGTGAGAGGGAACCTGAAGCACCGCCCTGTGGATGGTCGTGATTGTCCTAGAGCGGAGTGTGTTGGTAAAGTGGAGTCTATGGACCACTTTCTGCTCCAGTGTCCCTTTAACATAGAGGTATATAAAAGGGTGGGGACAGGGGCGGACTGACAACTCATGGGATCCCCGGGCAATAGGGGATCATGGGGCCCCTGTGTCCTCGCCCACACTCAAACCACACCCAAAAAAGTCTATGAAAGGTACCAGGGGCATCTCATGGGGCCCCCTACTGACCCCGGGCCCTTGGGCAGTGCCCGAGTTCTCCAATGGTCAGTCCACCCCTGGGTGGGGAGGGTTTTGGGCATCCCTTTTCTCTATCGCATGAGTTATGCAGAGTGGGTGTACGGGCATTCCCAGCTCACTGGGACTTTGATTTGGATACACTTTTTCTAGTTAGTATAGTTGTTCGTTACTTCACGTGGAATGCATGGTGTCAGATTACCCAGCGGAAGAAAGTCCTCCCTGTTAAGGTGGTGGTGCACAATATTCTGGGTGAGGTTGGGAAGATTCGGGGTCTTTAGAAGAGCAGGAAGCCTCAGGCGGTCTGGATAAGGACGTGGAGGAATATCAGACCTACCTTTGGTGAACTATCCATCTCTGGGTGAGGGGTTCTTTTCTTATGCTGTTCTTTTCACTCCCTCAGTTTTTGTTGGGAAAGATCTTCTTTTTGGGCTGCACGCATAATGGGGATGGGGTTGTTTATAGACCTCTCAGGTTTGATGCCTGGTGTAGTGATGTGAGTCTTAGCAAGATTTATTTCCCCAAGTAATGACATGTTCATTTCTGAGAGTTTTGCTTTTGTCTGACAGATTTTGTTATATTTATTTTAGTTTTTTTGTAAATATGTATATAATTATTTATTTTTGTATATTCTGTATATGATTCTATATTTATTTATTGCAAGACTTTTAATAAAGAAAATTGGGAATAATGCGCCTTACATTGGTGATCAGAGGGAAGAATGCATCTTACATTGGAGGTCAGAGGGGAAGAATGCTCCTTACATTGGAGGTCAGAGGGAAGAATGCTCCTTACATTGGAGATCAGAGGGAAGAATGCTCCTTACATTGGAGGTCAGAAGGAAGAATGCTCCTTACATTGGAGGTCAGAGGGAAGAATGCTCCTTACATTGGAAGTCAGAGGGAAGAATGCTCCTTACATTGGAAGTCAGAGGGAAGAATGCCCCTTACATTGGTGGTCAGTGGGAAGAATGCTCCTTACATTGGAGGTCAGAGGGAAGAATTCCCCTTACATTGGAGGTCAGAGGGAAGAATGCTCCTTACATTGGAAGTCAGAGGGAAGAATGCCCCTTACATTGGTGGTCAGTGGGAAGAATGCTCCTTACATTGGTGATCAGAGGGAAGAATGCCCCTTACATTGGTGGTCAGTGGGAAGAATTCTCCTTACATTGCTAATCAGAGGGAAAAATTCACCTTACATTGGAGGTCAGAGGGAAGAATTCCCCTTACATTGGAGGTCAGAGGGAAGAATGCTCCTTACATTGGAGGTCAGAAGGAAGAATGCGCCTTACATTGGAGATCAGAGGGAAGAATGCTCCTTACATTGGAGGTCAGAGGGAAGAATGCTCCTTACATTGGAAGTCAGAGGAAAGAACGCTTCTTACATTGGAGGTCAGAGGGAATAACGCCCCTTACATTGGAGATCAGAGGGAAGAATGCCCATTACATTGGAGGTCAGAGGGAAGAATGCTCCTTACATTGGAGGTCAGAGGGAAGAACACCCATTACATTGGAGGTCAGAGGGAAGGATGCTCCTTACATTGGAAGTCAGAGGGAAGAATGCCCCTTACATTGGTGGTCAGTGGGAAGAATGCTCCTTATATTGGTGATCAGAGGGAAGAATGCCCCTTACATTGGTGGTCAGTGGGAAGAATGCTCCTTACATTGCTAATCAGAGGGAAAAATTCACCTTACATTGGAGGTCAGAGGGAATAATTCCCCTTACATTGGAGGTCAGAGGGAAGAATGCTCCTTACATTGGAGGTCAGTGGGAAGAATGCCCCTTACATTGGAGGTCAGTGGGAAGAATGCTCCTTACATTGGAGGTCAGAGGGAAGAATGTCCCTTACATTGGAGGTCAGTGGGAAGAATGCTCCTTACATTGGAGGTCAGAGGGAAGAATGCCCCTTACATTGTAGGTCAGAGGGAAGAATTCCCCTTACATTGGAGGTCAGAGGAAATAATTCCCCTTACATTGGAGGTCAGAGTTAAGAATTCCCCTTACATTGGAGGTCAGAGGAAAGAACGCTTCTTACATTCGAGGTCAGAGGGAATAACGCCCCTTGCATTGTAGATCAGAGGGAAGAATTCCCCTTACGTTGGAGCTCAGAGGGAAGAATGCCCCTTACATTGGAGGTCAGAGGGAAGAATGCCCCTTATGTTGGAGCTCAGAGGGAAGAATGTTCCTTACGTTGGAGGTCAGAGGGAAGAACACCCATTACATTGGAGGTCAGAGGGAAGAATGCCCATTACATTGGTGGTCAGTCAGAAGAAAACCCACTGTATAGACAGCAAAGAAGGAAATTGGTGTCACGGTGCTGGAGTTGACCCTGGAGCTGAGCAGACAGTCAGATGGGAGGTTAGACATCCACAGCTCAAGGAGCCCCCAGCAATCTCTGGAGGAACCCCTATGGTTCCATGGAACCCTTGTTGAGAATGGCTGGCTTAGACCCATGTCATTTGGGTGTTTCATCATTTAGGGGACATTGGTCACTTCTCTTTGTATCCCGTCGGGGAGATTTCCTCTCACTTCCTGTCTGGTGGCACGCATACAAATCACTAAGGGACACATAGACTGATATAATCCTTTAGTAGATCAATTATCTATTCTAGAATAGTGATTTAGCAGATCCAGGTGAATCAACGCCCCCATCAGCTTTCTACTGTGTATTTCTCCCTCATTTCTGCCTGGGTGGCAATGTTGTCACTGGAACAAGAAGTGAGTGAGCCTCTTCATAGCAATAAAACCTGACATATGACCCTAATCTATCCAAAACTAACACAGAGTTTTGTCTGGAGCTGGGCTTTCACTTCAAGCTGGTAACACACAATTCAGAATGACACGATGTAGCAATCCATTGTGAACTACAAGTCCCAGTGCGCTTTGCTGCTTGGAAGGTCAATAGAAGGAGATCTTACATAATGCCTGTATAGAAATATTACCTAAGCCTAACAGCCAGCGCTTCACCGCTCTCCATTACTTGACAATATATGTCTATACAATAACATTTACTGTAAATACCGTTCAATGCAGAAGAGGAAATGATTTCCGGACAGGCATTTCTGAGAACAGCCTGTATTCCTATAAGGACCTCTTGTATCTCCGGATCCTCCCCAGTCAATGCACAGCAGCAGGCCGGACCCGGGAGGAGGAGATGCCGCTGTACGAAGGGCTGGGGAGCGGGGGCGAGAAGACCGCGGTGGTCATAGACCTGGGAGAGGCATTCACTAAGTGAGTGTCCGGTCATGTGCTGAGCCTGCCATTGGGGTACATGGGCCTGTCATTGGGGTGTATAGTATCTGTCATTGGGGTACATGGGCCTGTCATTGGGGTGTATAGTATCTGTCATTGGGGTACATGGGCCTGTCATTGGGGTGTATAGTATCTGTCATTGGGGTACATGGGCCTGTCATTAGGGTGTATAGTATCTGCCGGCTGGGGGTACATGGGCCTGTCATTGGGGTGTATAGTATCTGCCAGCTGGGGGTACATGGGCCTGTCATTGGGGTGTATAGTATCTGTCATTGGGGTGTATAGTATCTGTCATTGGGGTACAATGGCCTGTCATTAGGGTGTATAGTATCTGTCATTGGGGTACATGGGCCTGTCATTAGGGTGTATAGTATCTGTCATTGGGGTACATGGGCCTGTCATTAGGGTGTATAGTATCTGTCATTGGGGTACATGGGCCTGTCATTAGGGTGTATAGTATCTGTCATTGGGGTACATGGGCCTGTCATTAGGGTGTATAGTATCTGTCATTGGGGTACATGGGCCTGTCATTGGGGTGTATAGTATCTGTCATTGGGGTACATGGGCCTGTCATTAGGGTGTATAGTATCTGCCGGCTGGGGGTACATGGGCCTGTCATTGGGGTGTATAGTATCTGCCGGCTGGGGGTACATGGGCCTGTCATTGGGGTGTATAGTATCTGCCAGCTGGGGGTACATGGGCCTGTCATTGGGGTGTATAGTATCTGTCATTGGGGTGTATAGTATCTGTCATTGGGGGTACAATGGCCTGTCATTGGGGTGTATAGTATCTGCCAGCTGGGGGTACATGGGCCTGTCATTGGGGTGTATAGTATCTGTCATTGGGGTACATGGGCCTGTCATTGGGGTGTATAGTATCTGCCGGCTGGGGGTACATGGCTTGTCATTGGGGTGTATAGTATCTGTCATTGGGGTGTATAGTATCTGTCATTGGGGTACAATGGCCTGTCATTGGGGTGTATAGTATCTGCCAGCTGGGGGTACATGGGCCTGTCATTGGGGTGTATAGTATCTGCCAGCTGGGGGTACATGGGCCTGTCATTGGGGTGTATAGTATCTGCCAGCTGGGGGTACATGGGCCTGTCATTGGGGTGTATAGTATCTGCCAGCTGGGGGTACATGGGCCTGTCATTGGGGTGTATAGTATCTGCCAGCTGGGGGTACATGGGCCTGTCATTGGGGTGTATAGTATCTGCCAGCTGGGGGTACATGGGCCTGTTATTGGGGTGTATAGTATCTGCCAGCAGGAATACATGGGCCTGTCACTGGGGTGTATAGTATCTGCCAGCTAGGGGTACATGGGCCTGTCACTGGGGTGTATAGTATCTGCCAGCTAGGGGTACATGGGCCTGTCATTGGGGTGTATAGTATCTGCCATAGGGGTACATGGGGTCTGTTTTTGTGTACATGAGATATATCTTTAGAGTGTATAGGACCTGCCAGTGGGTGATGTGAAATGTTTCATTGATGTACCTGAGATCTGTTATTGGGGTACATTGTGTCTGCCAGCTGGGGGTTCATGGGATCTGTCATTGGAGTCCATGGGATTTCTCATTGGGATCCATGGGGTCTGCCTGAGACATAGAAACTGTCAATGGGGATACACAAGATCTGTCCAAAGGTTCCACCAGCCAGGAGTCCATGGGATCTATCATTGCGGTCCATGGGATCTGTCTGAGACATAGAAACTGCCAATGGATCTATCATTGGTGTCCACCAGCTGGAAGTCCATGGGATCTGTCATTTGGGTCTGTCTGAGACATAGAAACAGTCAATGGGGGTCCATGGTATCTGTCATTGGGGTTTGTCTGAGACATAGAAACTGTCAATGGGGATACATGGGATCTGTCATTGGGGCCCATTGTGTCTGCCAGCTCCATGAGATCTGTCCATAAGGTCCACCAGCCAGGGGTCCATGGAATCTGTCATTGGTGTCCATGGGATCTGTCTAAGACATAGAAAACTGTCAATGAGGATACACAGGATCTGTCCATGGGGTCCACCAGCCGGGGGTTCATGGGATATTTCATTGGAGTTTATGGTGTCTGCCAGCTGGGGATTCATGGGGTCTGTCATTGGGGTGTTTGGCAGCTGGTGAAACATGGGTTTTGTTATTGGGTACATTGGAGCTGTATAGGGCCTGCCAGTAAGGGATGTGAAATCTATCATTGGTGTCCCTGGGGGCCTGTCATTGGGTTCCATGCGATCTGTCTGAGACATAGAACCTGTCAATGAGGATACATAGGATCTGTCATTGGGGTCTATTGGGTCTGCCAGATGGGGGTCCATGGAATCTGTCGATGGGGTCCATTGGGTCTGCAAGGTGGGGGGGGGGTCCATGGGCTCTGTCATTGGGGTGTATGGTGTCTGCCAGTTGGGGGTTCATGGCGTCTGTCATTGGGGTGCATGGCATCTGTCATTGGGGTGTATAGCATCTGCCAGCTGGGTTTACATGGGTTCTGTTATTGGGTACATTGGAGCTGTCAGGAGAGGGTAGATAGGATAAATCATTAGAGTGTATAGAGCCTGCCAGTAGGGGATGTGAAAACGTTCATTGATGTAACTGGAGCCTGTCATTAGGGATACGTGGCATCTTTTATTGGGGTGCATGGTGCATTACAGCTGGGAAGACATGGAAACAGTCATTGGGGTGCATGGGGCCTATTAGCTGGGTTGCCTGACTAGGGCAGGGCTGTAGGGGCCAATATATATTTTTCCATATAGCCAAACCTGTGAACATACAATCCACTCATTCTGTTCAAATTTCAAAAGCTGCTGGGCAATCGTGTTGAAGAGACTTTTCATGTGGAAAATGGAATAGTGTTCCATCAAATTGAGATTCAACTTTTCTGCTTTTCTGTTAGCCTCTTAAACCAGAGTTGTCTGGTCAATTAGATTTATTCAAGTGGAACTTTAGTCAGAAAATTAAAGAATATGTAAATGCAGCATTTCATATTCCTGCTGCAGTACTATGAACTTGTATGAAGTATCCTGTTCTCTTTGTATTGCTTCTTGTGTTCCTGCCAGTCCCTCTGCTTTCTGAGCACAGTGTGGTCAGTTCTGTAGCTGTGCTGGAAATTCAGCTTGCTCTCCTTCAATGATCAGACTTCTGCTGACAGCCTTGTTTTACAAGGTGAAGGTTTACAGTCACTTTAAAGTGATTCTAAAGGTTAAATTAAAAACGAAAAAAAAAAAAAAAAAAATACCCCAAAAAAACAAACATGTTCTTACCTGCTCTGTATAATAGTTTTGCACAGAGCGGCCCCGAACCTCTTCTTTTTGTGTCCTAACTCCTTCCCCTTGCCGAGTGTGTGCCAAGTGTCCATTCACACACTGAGCACGGCTTGAACCTGCCCCCCACTCTTCTCATTGGCTCACTGGCTGTGAATGACAGCAGCAGGAGCCAATAGCTTCCGCTGCTGTGTGAGCCTGTGAGGAGAGAGGGTTCTGGGACAGCAGAGGCTCCCATGGACATTGCTGGATCGATAATGGGCTCAGGTAAGTATAAGGGGGGGGGAAGCTACACTCTCACCCTGCTCTGCACATGCTTAGTTGCTCTCTATTTTTTGGCATTGTGCTGAAAATCACAGCTATTAGTGGCCAATCTGCTGCCCAGGGGTTTTGGACTTCAACAAAATGGCGGCCTTCAGCAAGAAGACACAGGAACAATGCTGGAAGCAATGTACAGCACACTAATTTTGGTAGGATAATTATTAATATGGAATGTATGTTCCTTGCTAAAGAACATTAATTTTCATCAAGATATTATGGGTAAAGTTCTGATTTAATGGTATATTTCCTTTCTTTATTCACTTTTAATTGAATCATTTTAAAGCTCCTTGCAAACATTTTACACCCTAAATATGGCTGTAACTTGGTGTTAAAGGTGGAATTGGTGTTTAAGCTCACAGGAAATGACCTTAAAGCTACATTCACAGGGGAGCATGGGGGCATATAGTTTGCTGCATTTAGATGCAGCTAAACGCTGCTGATGGACACTGTAACACTCTCTGCTATGGGCCATACAAACTGGCGGATTATCTGCGGCCCATTTGTCTGTGGCCAAAACTCCAGAGAAATGCTGACCCTGGATGCACACGGTTTGTGTCTGCAGTTGGTTGGAGGCTCTGTGTGCGTGTAACCACTCAGATGAGCAGTTACATTCAGAGTGACTGTGTCAGCCTCAACTTGTACAGAGTACACACTTGACAGCCACCACTGACAGCTGTTACCGGTCGCATAGAGTTTCTACGGGCAGCGTTAATACTGCCACAGCATTGGTACAGAATTTACTGATTCTCGCAGACAGTCGCCCCCATATGCCTGTGTGAATGTAGGCTTACACTGCATTTTTGGCAAAATCAACTGGTATTTTTTGAACTTGCAGAAAATGTACTTAGCCTGAAAAAAAAAAAAAAAAAATCTAATGCAGCTAGCACATCCAACGACTGATAAGCTGCAATATATTACATTTTTTGTTCTTGGGTTATATACAGTATATATAATCATGGCAGGATGTCTGTTATTAGGTTCACGTTAAGTGATTAAGCTTGAGAATTTCATGTCATTATTAATTCTTTTTTTCAGATGTGGATTTGCAGGTGAAACAGGACCAAGATGCATTATACGGAGCGAAATTCGAAAACCTGGCCTTGCCAAGGTAGCCAAACGAGAGGAGCTGGAAAAAGTCTATTGTGGCTTTTATTGATATCTAGTTATTTTTTATTTATGGGATGCTCTGTTAATTCTCTTTAAAGCACAGCTGAAGGTTTATTTATTTTTTTTTTCTCTTATTAAACATTTAGGCTGCATAACTATTAAACAATTTAAAAAAAATATTTCTAAGATGTACATGCTAATGCGGTAAAAGCTGCCTTGTTTTGGCAACACTTTATAAAGCCAGACTTACAGAGGCCTGGACTGTGGCAATCTCTGTGAGGTCAGTTGTCCAACTCTGTAGCACACTGCACAGGGCAGCTTTGACGGCTCCATGCACACTAGCGGTTTTTGTTTTTTTTAAGCTCAAAAAACGCTGGATAAAAACCGCTGGTAATAGCGGTTTAAATCGCATTTAGGAGTATTAGTGTTTTAACAGTACATGTAGAGGAAAAAAGAAAAAAAGCTAGAAAAAAACATTTATGTGCATTTTAGCAGCATTTAGGAGCGTTTATCTTTTTTTTTCTGCTGAATAAATGCTACAAAAAATCTACAAAAACTATTTTTTTTCTGCTCCTAGACCCTGAAGCTCAAAAAATGCTAATAGCCTAATGTAGTGTGCATCGACACATAGGATAACACCAGACTCCTTCACCCTCTTCCAGCCCAGGATCAGGCACTATCAGTGCAGTGACAATTAATCACGCAACACTGTAACCATGTGTAATTTTTATAATTTTTTTGAAACGGAGCATTCTTTTGGCAGTATGACCACTGGGGTTTTTTTTTTTTTTGTTTTTTTGCTATATAAATAAAAAAAAAATACAGAGAATATTGGGGGAAAAAATTTTTTTTTTTTTTGCTTCATTTTGTTATAACATTTTGCAAATAAATAATCTTTCTTCATAAATGTAGGCCAAATTGTATTCTGCTACATTTTTTGGATAAAAATAATCCAAAACAGTGTATATCTTTTAGTGAAAGTTTTAGAGTCTACAAACTATGGGATATATGTCTGAAAATTGATCTGTTGACACCCTAAAATGTTGAACGCTGTTATGGGGTTTTCCAGTGATCAAGATGTTGGTATGAGGTATAGCGGTGATCCGTATGCTGGTATGGAGGTGAACCAGACGTTGGCATGGGGTATGGCAGTGAGCAGGATACTGGTATGAGGTATGGCAGTGATCAAGACTCTGGTATGGGGTATGGTGGTGATCAGGGCTCTGGTATGAGGTATGGTAGTAATCAGGACCCTGGTATGGGGTATGGCAGTGATTGGGATGCTGGTTTGGCATATGGGGTGTTCAGAATGCTGGTGTGGTGTATGGCGGTGATCAGGATGCCGTTACAGGGTATGGCAGTGATCAGGATGCCGTTATGGGGTATGGCGGTGATCAGGATGCCGTTACGGCGTATGGTAGAGATCAGGGTGTTGGTATGGCATATGTCAGTGATCTGCCACTGGTATGGGGTATGACAGTGTTCAGGACATTAGTATAGTGTATGGTGGTGTTTTTGTGAGCACTGGGACAGGTGACAAGTGCTGGCATAATTTTTTATTTGTACTAGGGAAGTGATCAGGACACTGGGGTAGCTGGCACTGCAGTCTGTGAGTGCACTGTGACAGGCTGCTGTACACTCACAGGCTGCAGCATCGGTTCTCTCTGCTCTCACAGCGAGAGCAGAGAGCACCAATCTTTACTTTCAGTTTCTATTGTTTAGTATGTGATTGGATACAGCAACCACTTGGTTGAACACCTGAACACAGCGGTCACATGATCCGTGTGACACTGGGATTGCCAGGGTCCTGGGTGCCTGCTTTGTGAGCCCCTTATGAGGGCTCAGGGATGTTGAATTTGTATTGTGGCATTTTTCAGCTTTTAGCCCTGTCAGGTGGAAGCATTTGGCCGGCAGCGCTGCCACCCGAGTGCTTCCACACAGCCCACGGTGCCAGCCATGCACTGCCCAAAAAAAAAGAGCAGTGAAAATACCATTTTTTTAAATCCAGTGATCCAGCCGCTCCGGGTGCCTTTTTTTGGAAGGGACCTCTCAATTATCGCTGTGAAGTCCAAGAGCCTAGACATCACCCATAGAGTCCCATTGCCCGTCGGTTGTCTGTGCTCCCTCCTCCTATCTTCAGCAGCCGCTCTCTGACACGGGAGCCGGAGCAGTTGGATCACATAGCTAGATTAAAAAAAAGTATTTTTATTTGTATTGGCTGCCTGTAATCCTCTGCACAGCAGGACTCTGACTGGGGGAGGAGGAGCAGCACTTTAACCTGTCAGACCTCTATTCATTTGCATAGTGCTGTCAGTCTATCACTGTGATCTTGCTGTTAGGAGGGGGAATACAGAACTGAACCCATTAGTGTGCTGCTGCTGTCAATGTCAACTCAGCAAGCTGAAAGGATCAGCAGTAATACTGTATTATTTATCATCTTGCTTCCCTGCCACAGTACATTTACTGTGGTGGGGCAGCACTGGCAGGCACAGTCATGTATACATAGGTGCCTGCCTTCTTCTGGGTCTGTAGGCGTGCACATGTGCGCCCCCTGCCGACTTGTGCTGTGATTGGACACAGCTGATTTCTGCCTATGATTTTGGCCGAAGCTAGCTGATCAGCCAATCACACACACAGTTCTATGTTTACAAAACACAAAACTCTGTACAGGGAACAGTGATCTGGCTGTTTTTGTTTGCTCCCTGCAAAGTAGGGAGCAAAAAGAAAAAAAACAGCCATATAGTAAAGTAAAGGCAGTATTTACTGCATAACACACATTGCAGATTTCTGGGCACACAATTAACCCCCTTGATCATCCTAGATGTTAACCCCTTTCCAGCCAGTGTCATTAGTACAGTGACCGTGTACAGTATTAGTGTCACTATTGATGTCAGTTAGTGTACCTCCCAGCCAGTGTCTGCTAGTGCCAGATTGTTTGCCACACTATCGCAGTACCACTAGAAGTCATTGATCACCGCCATTGCGAGTAGAGCATCATAGCTGTGTAAATTCCAGTATATATACCATAGTTTGTAGACGCTGTAACTTTCAGACAAACCAATTAAAATAAAGATATTGAGATTGGCAGAATACATTTTGGCCTAAATTTATGAGGAAATATGATTTTTAAAATGTTTTTAATTGGATGTTTTATAACAGTAGAAAATATTGTTTTTTCTCCACAATTTTCGGTCTTCTTTTGTTTATATAAATTAAAAAAAAAAAAACACTGTAGTGATCAAATATCACCAAAAGAAAGCTCTATTTGTGTGAAAAAAATATATAAATTTCATTTGGGTACAGTGTTGCATGACCGAGCAATTGCCAGTTAAAATAGCACAGTGCTGAATAGCAAAACCGTGCTAGGTCGTAAATCGGGTAAAACCTTCCGTAGGTCCTTGTGGAGTTGCTAAAGTGTTACAAAACCCACAACAGTAAAATCAGTCTGTATATGTAGTAAAGCATGCTGCTTGTACTCGCTGTGGAACTTAAGGGGTTAATCCTCTGCATTATGTAAAAAGGATGTTTGATCCCTTCTTATTTGATCCTCCCTTTCCTCTACTGTCCCCAATATATGTCCTGATTGAACAAAGGTTTGGGGACAAGCTGCACATGCTCAGTTTGGTGTGTATTGCTAGAGAGCTTTTTTTTTTTTTTTTTTCCTGGGAGTGCTTGTGATCAGCACAGTGCCATCAACACTGTCCAGACAGAGGGTTAGGGGTCCTGCAGCCTCATAGGGGAGAATAAAAATGCCTCCTGCAAGCTTTAACCAGTGCTTTGCTGGAAACTGATAAAATTCACAAGATTGCTCTAACTGCTGATGAGAAATGGTACTTAGCAGTTTATATTTACTAAAATAATTGCATTTCCATGTTCTGTGGGAGACCAGATATAGTGAATACAGTGTCCTAGGCTTAGTAACACTTTAACTGTCCTCAATCAATTTTGCCATAGTTCAGAGCAGCAGTGGCAAGTCTGTACATGCTCTGTTTGGTGTGTATTGCTATAAGTGTTTTTTTGGGAGGGTGCGTGTGATCGGCACAGTGCCAATTAGCACTGTCTGGACAGAGGATCAGGGGTTATGCAGCCTCATAGGACAGTCAGAGAAGAATGAAAGATTAACCAGTGCTTGGCCGTACACTAATAGAAGTCACAAGACTGCTCTAACTTCTGATGAGAAAAGATATTTAGCAGTTTATATTTACTAAAATAATTGCATTTCCATGTTTTGTTTACTGTAAAAGACCGGATATAGTACATGCAGGGTCCATGGGTTTAGTAACACTTTAAAGTGTATGCATAGCTAAAAGTGTTCCTTTGCTTCCTTTGTCCCCACTGGAGAGATTCGCCCTCTCTGTTCTGGTGGCCATTGTCACTGACAGTCCAAATATATGAGGTTGTTGCCAGAACAAGAGGGTAACTTTTTCTTAGGTGAGCACCAGTCCCAGTGACATACAGTATATCTAAGAAGGGATCTTCCATCAATTTTTAGAGATTTCTTTCACTTCCTGTTGCATATCTTGGAAAGGAAGTGAAGAGCAATTTCCCCAATGGGAAAGAGACAGAAAAAAAATGACTGGGGTTTTAACACTATCCAAACCTTAAATGTTTTGGCTATTCATGCACTTCAAGGGAAACCTGTCTTTAAAAATTCTAGTGTTTTAGCTGTCATGCTAAATAGGTGGCTTCAGTTGTTTTTACAATGTTGAATTGGAAGTTGTAGGAACATTAGAAGCCCTGTCCTTTTCAATGTCACTTGCTGCATGCTTAACTAGCAGTTAACTAGCATTTGCAGAAGGTCAGCAAATATTTTGCATGTAGAAATCAATTCACCAAAATAATTGGACAGGTTTTCGCTTCTTAAAAAAATATTTCAGGCATTAATTGTGAGCTTCTATGTGGTATTTGTTGGAGAGATCCTAGAATGGAACATTTCATGGTGAAGATAAACATTAGAGATGTATGCAGCTAAAATGTTAGGAAAATTTTTTCCTTTTTGTTATAAGGTGTTTACTAAAGTTGAAATCCCCTTTATTTATTGCAGCCAATCAAAGTTGTCCAGTACAACATCAACACAGAAGAGCTCTATTCGTATCTCATAGAATTTATTCACATGCTCTATTTCAGGTAAGTGTGTGTTTTGGATGTTTGACCACGAGTCATCTGGTTTTGTGTGTATATACAACCTAATGTGACCTAATCACTGAAAAAGGTAATATCAGAATGCCATGTCAGGTTTTAAGTTTAGATTTTCATTATGGTTTTAAGATGACAACAGATTCTGCCAGTGCGTTTTAAGTTAACTTGCACTTAAACATGAACTCCGGCCAGATGTACAAAAAAAAATAAAAAATTGATGCAGCTCTGTAGTCATTATTACATAGTTTAAAAATTGTTTAACTTTGAATTCCAGGTATGAATATTTTATATACAGCTACAGTGCTCAGCATAAATGAGTACACCCCCTTTGAAAAGTAAGATTTGAATCCATATCTCAATGAACACAAACAATTTCCAAAATTTAAAAAAAAACGAGTTTTATAGAGCATTTGTTTAGCTCATTACATGAAAGTTTTTTATAATATGACTTAGATTACAAAATCTTCAGTTTTACGCAAATTAGTTTATGCAAAAATGAATACACCCCACAACAAAAACTACTATATCTAGTATTTTGTATGACCTCCATGATTTGTAAGGACAGCACCAAGTCTTCTAGACATGGAATGAACAAGTTGACATATTGCAACACCTATCTTTTTCCATTTTTCAATAACGTCCTCTTTTAGAGCCTGGATGCTGGATGGAGAGTGATGTTCAACTTGTCTCTTCAGAATTCCCCATAGGTGTTCGATTGGGTTCAGATCAGGAGACATACTTGGCCACTGAATCATGTTCACCCTGTTCTTCTTCAGAAATGCAGCAGTGGCCTTAGATGTGTGTTTTGGATCATTGTCATGTTGGAAAAGTGTACAACGACCAAGGACACGGAGTGATATGTCATCTTCTCTTTCAATATAGAGCAGTACATCTGTAAATTTATGATACCATCAATGAAATGCAGCTCCCCAACACCAGCAGCACTCATGCAACCCCACAGGAGGACACTGCCAGCACCATGTTTCACTGTAGGCAACATGCATTTTTCTTTGTATGCCTCACCTTTGTGACACCATACAGTTTTGAAGCCATCAGTTCCAAAAACCCTTATCTTGGTCTCATCACTCCAGAGTACGTAGTGCCAGTAGTCTTCTTTTTCAGCATGGGCACTGGCAAATTCTAGGCAATCTTTTTTGTGCATGGGCGTTATGAGAGGCTTCCTTCGTGGTCGACACCCATGCATGCCTCTGCAATGTATGCCGTATTGTGTCACAGAAAACAATCATCCCAGTTTGGCTTTCTACTTCTTTAGCTAACTGCAGTGAACTTGCATGGCGATTTTCTTCAACCCTTCTTATCAGAAGATGCTCTTGTCAAGGTGTTGACTTCCGTGAATAGCCTGAATGTCTCTGTGAGATGGTTGCAGTTCCATCTTTGTAAAATTTTTGTATTATGTTTGCTATAGTATTCTGACTGATTAGTAAAGTTTTGCTGATCTTCTTGTAGCCTTCACCCTTCGTGTAAGAAAATTATTCTCTTTCTCTGGCCTTGAGGCATTGCCCTTCCATGTGGTACCATTGCTGACAGCATGAAATGGGAAGGGGTTATCTTTAACACCCTTTTATAATCAACACACCTGTTTAATGAATAATTAGACTCACCTGTAGTTGAATTCTTGTTAATTAGGATTTTATTGTCCAAAATTTAGCTTTGCTCCAAAGACTTCCATTGGGGTGTATTCATTTCATTTTTGCAACATGGCCTTAAATTAATTTGTTAGGAAAAATACTTTTTTGTGTATGCAAATGACCAAATCTTGTTTGCAATCAATGGCCCGCATTTGTGGGAGTATTTTGTAGTATCGTGTCCCATAGAAAATGTTGATTCTGAAAGGAAAGTAAAGGTTTTCTGACAAATCTGTTGAGGTTACTCATTTATGTTTGGCACTATACATTGATTCAGCTTAGACCAATGTAATTATTTAGATAACATACCTGACTGGTGCCCCTGGATGCTAGAAATCACTGAAGTAGACAATGCTATTCCAATGAGCTCCACTAGCTTACACATCCACTTATATCCTTCTGTTTTACTTTCCAGGCACCTTCTGGTGAATCCCCGGGACCGCCGCGTTGTGATAATAGAATCTGTACTTTCTCCCTCTCATTTTAGGGAAACTCTTACCCGGGTTCTCTTCAAGTACTTTGAGGTAGTGAATTTGTGCTGCAATGGACACAAAATGTGTAATTTTATTTTGGCAATTACAGAAGATGCTCCTGTGGACAGATGATTGTAGACAAAAAAAGAAGTTTCATTCTTTTGGAAAAGGTCACAAATTGTCTTGTTCTGTAATGTGCATGTTATCAATTTTAACAAAATCAGAAGATTTTCCATAAAAAAACCCCAGAAGCCTTAAAGCGTAACATCTCACATCCCCTCCCTTCCTCACTAGCACCAATATCTTCACCATGTCATCTTCTGGGTTCAGGCTCTTCAGTTGCCTGCACTGACCAAAATGATGTAACTACCACGTACGTATGCACAATGAAGTTAATTCCAGCATCAAGGTGTTCCAAGAATATACGCAGAGCATCCCAGGCGCAGCTCGGTGTACATTCCAAAGAAGGCTGTGAACAGGCAGGTACATTTAATTGCAGAAAAGACATAGCATGTCTCTTTTGCAAAAAAAAGCCTGCCTGTTCGCAGTTTGTTTGCTTTGTTAAGGCTTGACAAAATCCAGGTGCCAGCTTGCCATGACTAGAAATTGCATCCTGGTGCCTGGGGTTTTGTGAGCCCATTCAGTGTTCTACACCCGCTGTCCTGACTTCAGTGTGCTGTGCGCTCAGTCTGAGCATCAGCCTGTCTGTCACTCCCTAACTGCGCTTTTGGTGTCCCGAGCTGCCAACTCTGCTGCAGTTTCCTTTGCTTGGATGGCAGCATCAAGTGGGTGGGGCATCAGGGACATGTGACTGGTGGTGAAGCGCAGTTCAGTCAAACCGAGTGAAGGGCTGCATCTTGCAACACTGAGCGGGGAACAGAGCTTAGTTGGTCATTGGCGGTGAAAGGGGGAGCTTTTGTGGACCTGCCTGCCCATTGAATGTGTAGGTGCTACATTGCTGCTGCACAATTCCAATACCTGAGCTGAGTTGATGTTTTTAGGATGTCTCTCTGCTGGATGGCGCTGTCTCTTTTCTATATGGGTGCTGTCTCTTTACTGAGTATTTGGGGAGATCTCTGCTGGATTGGGCTGTCTTTTTGCTATATGGAAATGTCTTTTTGCTGAATTGGAATGTCTTTGTTGAATATATGGGGCTGTCAAATTCCTTATGCCCTGACATTCCGGGCACCTGGCTCCTAAATTTTCTTAGATTCAAAGCAAATGCTCTGCTTTAAGTTGTCTTTCCTGTATGAATTTTCAGAACTTAAAGTAAACCTATTAGTATCACAAAGGCATTGAACAGGATTCAGCATTACAATGTAGCCACCAAGCAGTTCCAACAAATACCTTACATGACTCTGACAGTGTTGGTTTCCTGTCCCTTCCCAGTCTAAATGATGGACAGCTTTACTAGCCAGTGAGAATATGCAAGAGAGGACAGATCAACATTGTAAGTTTTAAGTCCGTGAAATAAAAAATTGAAGGTGGCTGTTTTGTTATTTCTTCAATTCCAATATTTTTATAAAGCAGCAGCATGATTTACAATATGCAGTAACTTTTTATAGAGTATATGGTATCCTTCTCATTAGTCCATGTTTTAGAGAAGCACACAGCATATTGTTCCTACCAAAGCCATACAGATATATACATTAAAGCCAATTTGACCTAATGTCAACTAGCAGTATCTTTTTGAATTAGAAGAAGATGAAGTACTTGTTTATGGCAGGATTCTGTTTACGTGTGCTACAATAGGGGCCAAGCCTTCATATTGTAGCGGACTTTAGAGTGGATCAGGTAATCATGTTCTATGTTTTGTCTTCACAGGTTCCGTCTGTCTTATTTGCTCCTGGTCACCTGATGTCCCTTCTCACACTTGGCATCAACTCTGCCATGGTGCTGGATTGTGGTTATGCAGAAAGCCTTGTCCTTCCTGTATCCTTTTTCTATTATATTATCATTAGTTAGGGTAAGGAGAAGGGTTTTCCTTCAGGGATAGCCATGTAGAACTTTTGTGTGCGTGTGTATGTATGTATGTGTATGTGTATGTGTGTGTGTGTGTGTGTGTGTGTGTGTATATATATATATATATGTATGTGTATATATATATATATATATATATATATATATATATATATATCTATCACAGTGCTTGTAGACTATAAGCAACTTTGGCTATTGAAGCTGAGTGTTTGTTTTTTTGGGTTTTTTTTTTTTTTTTTTTGTTTTTTTTTTTTTTTTTTTAACTAGGGTACATAAACCCTCTAGGGAAATTATCCTTCACTTTCCATTGTGTCATTGAGACTGGAAATGAAGGGGAAATCAAAGTAATTGCGGACAGCAACATAAAAACTGGTTTTAAACCTTTCCAGTTGTAGCCAAAATTTACAAATAAAGTTTGCCTGGAGTTAAGATTAACATCTTCTGTCTGCTCCCATTGGAAATTAGGGGTGGTACAGTGTGTCTTAATATATATGTCAAGTTGCAACCCATTTTTTTGATAGTGGGGGACAGATTATAACCCCTTGTATGGTTTTTACCGTTATTCCCTTACTTTCTGTTTCACCGACAGTGGTTTCACCAAACTGGAAGTAAGGGAAAATCTGCAACAGGGATTCCGACTGAAATGGATGTCTCTCAGATTATTCCATTAATCTGCTAAGAAACAAATATTGTCCTAGAATTTCCCCCATGTCCTGCTTGATAAAAGGTTGTCAACAGGACAGGTAGCGATGGACAATGACTTTAATGGTACCCCAAATAGCATAAGATCCTGACAGGGGTTCTAATTTTCCTCTTTCTCAACCCAAAACCATAAAAAAAGAAAAGAAAAATATGGCTTGACATTAAAGGATAAGTTCTCATAAAAATAAAGTGCATTTGTCTTTTTTTTTTTTTTTCCCCCTCCTCTTCCAAAGATGCATACATATCTTGAGTTTGCAGCTGAAATTCCACTCCTGCACATTTTTGTCTCCCATAGATTTCTATAGAGCCATCTTCGATTTATCTCTGGCCTTGGAACACATCCCCGTAGTAGCTTGTGAGGCACTAATGCACAAGTGCAGCCAGGATGGTGAAGACTTACACTGCTGGACACTGCTAAACAAACAGCAGAACTGCAGTTGTTGGATTGAGGTAAGTATGCATCTGTGGAGAGTTAGGATGGGTTGGGTTAGGCCAGGCATAGGGGACAGAAAAAAATAAATGCAGTTTGTTTTCAAGTGCACTTGTCCTTTAACCATTTCCCATCCGGACCATGTACATAAATGGCCGGACGGGAGCAGGTGGCTGTTTATAAATGTCCTCCCCGCTTCCCTGCCTGTGCGCACTCCCTGGGAGCTCACGGCACTGTGATCCGGTGCCCGCTGTGTCTGGAGCACACAGCGGAACACAGATCCCTGTACGGGACCTCTGTGTGAGGTCCTGATCATGTGATCACTGATTAGCCAATCAGTGATCACATGAATAGTAGTAAGCAAGATGTCACTTCTGACATCATTGCTTACAACTAGTGAAATCTGTGAATGATCACAGAGGTCACATGGTACAAGGCTATTCACAACAGCCTTGTACCATGTGACAAGCTGTGACCAATCACAGCTCTCACAGTATTTCTCAGTGGCTGCAAGAATGCAGCAAGGGAGAAATGATTGCTTTTACAGCCTTTATGGGTGTAAAAGCAATCTAAAAAAAAATACATCACCCCCCAGAAGTAGTACAGTGTCACTATGGTGACACTGTACTGATAGGGTGACAGTATGTTATGTTAAAAAAAAAAAAAAAAAAACAATCTAAAAAAATAAAATAGAAATGTAAAAAATATTTTTGAAAAATTATAATTTTTGGTTATAAACTAATTTTGGGTTATTTATTTTTGTACTAAAAAGATAGCTGATTAAATCTCTGGCCATGCATATGATCAACGCGGCTAAACTGTCTACCTGTACTATGGGGTTCCACCCACCCTCCTTCTATACGAGATTGGTTCACACACTTGGAAAAAGTGGCAGAGATGGAAGAGCTGATTGCTTCAGCACTTGATACCCCAACCAAATTTTCCCACACTTGGGCCTGCTGGACCCACTTCCAAACTACCTCTGAATATTGTTCCCTCATGGGCCATTCCACCTGATCTTGTATCGACCACTTCCCTACTGTATCCCTTACTTACCTCCTCACCTGTTTTTTTGGATATCCTGACATCCCCCTCTCCTCTTTTTGGCAGTTTGAAACGTGACACCCTTTAGTGCAATACACCCGACTGTCCGACATGTATACCCGCTCAGGGCCTGCTCACATTTGTCCGAGCTCTGGTGCCTTCGCGCCGGTGTTATGCCTGTTCACTTTACCTCTTCCCTTGTTCCATTGTTCCATCTTTTCCCTTATGATCCTCTCCCCCTTATTTTTTTTTTTTTTTTTTTTTCCTCCCTCTTCTCTCTCTCTCTTTTTCTCTCCTCTCCTCCTGTCCTTTTATATCTCACAATGTCCTTTGGAGATGCACACTCTCACCCATGCAGAAACAGCTTCAAATGTGACTGCGGTTTTACATCGGCATTCTCCCGCACACGGGTATCCGGGTCCTGCAACCCCCACCGCAATACCCTCTAGTGTTCCTTGCATTTGTCCCCTTCTTCAGATTGTCATACGGAGGTACACATGCTTGAACTTCCCTGTTCTGAGACTCCTGGATGCCTTATTGTGGTGCTTGAGTACTACCTGCCTGCATTTTTGTTGTGGCTGTTTGTTACCACTTAACCGCGTATTTCCAACTCTGTTTTTTTTATTCTGTTTGGCTTGAGAAGATTGTCTATGTTATCACATATGATCTCCCTCTCCTGTATGGCTTATGTTAATTGCCTTCTATGCATACCCTACATTCCCCTTCCCCTTCTACCCTTTTGTGCTAACTGTATGCTATGTTTTGTACTTTTCCTAATAAACTTTATGGAAGAAAAAAAAAAAAGATAGCTGAATACATTTTGGCCAAGATTTATGAATAAATATTATTTATTTACAAAATTTTATGAGAACATTTTTTTTTTTTTTTTTTTTTAAATGTTTGAACTTTTTCATTTATATAGCAAAAAAAATAAAAATCCCAGTGGTGAATAAATACCACCAAAATAAATAATTCATATGGGTACAGTGTTGCATGACCGTGCAATTGTCATTCAAAGTGTGATAGCGCTGAAAGCTAAAAATTGGCCTGGACAGGAAGGGGGTGAAAGTGTCCGGACTGGAATTGGTTAAATGTGTTGTATATCATTATTATTATTTTATTTTCTTAACATGTAAAAGGTATATGAAGGTATTCCAATTCTCAGCTGCTGGGGAGCTCTTCCTCTGGGTGGAAAAGCCATTCACAAGTACGTGTTCAGTCATTGTAATGTTAAGACTTTATGCCGTGTTACTCAGGTGAGGGGGAAAAAAAAAAATCTATGAAATGTGGAATTTATAGATTTTCATACACAAATGGTATGAATGTTTGATAAAGGCTACATCATACCTATCCTTAAGACTTAACATACACATTAAAATCTCACCGTACAATCAGCCTTAGATTTACCAACATTTTGTAACGTGAGAACTTAAACTTTCCAATCAGTTTGCATTCAGTCATACTAGAAAATGCTATAGTAGCTCATCTACTGTATCTAAGGTCACTAGGTTGCTTTAAATATTATAGTGCAGCTAGTAATATACAATCGAGTGAAATTGTAGATGCGAAAACAAAAGAATATCAGGTAAAATAGGAAAAGGACTCTGAGTAGTATATCAAAACTCAATATAGTAGCAGCCATTTACATAAAAGAAAATACTGGTCTGCAGGCAAGCTGTAGAGTGGTACGTGCAAATATCCAAGCATTACGTCCTGTTGGCCAATCAGAAGGGAAAGCCAACTGCACAGCTGATGGGAAGCGGGTCAACCTTGTAACGCTAGTGTGACAGTCTTCCACCGCAAACGCTGCTGAATAGAGGGCCACCGGAATTGCGTCTCCGGCATCACCTACGTCACTTGCTGAAATCCGAAAATGTCTCCATAGCAACCTGTGTCAAGGACACACCTCTTTTTTTAAGACTTGATGCAATTCTGGTGGCTCTCCAAGCTGATGGGAAGACTTAATATTTTGAACTTTAGGAACAGGGAGGAAGTGGTAGGTGTCTTGGTCTGAAATAGTGAATTTTAAATGGCTAAAGTAGAGCTATAGGCAAAACTTTTTTTTTTTTTTTTTTAATTTTGGGTAGAGTAAGGGACAGTTATTACCCCTGTACACTTTCTTTTTCTTTTTTTTTTGCCATCTTTTCACATCTGGGCGGATTTTCCTTCACTTCCTCTCCCATAGCCAAAACTGGAAGTGGGAAGAAAATCCCTGTACATTGAGGGAATTTCTTGGGGACCCCCAGGTCATCAGAACTAGTGTCCCCATTGGAATATTTCCCCTCTATTACTTTTCTGGGGACAACCCAAAATGTGGGATTTTCTTTTACTTTCGATAATTGTAAACAAGACAAATAGGGTAAATCTCCCTAATGGGGACACAGACAGTAATAAAAACTGACAAGTGTTTTAATCCCACTCCATCCAAAACTAAAACAATTGTTTTGCCTTTAGTTCTACTTTAACATTCCCCAGTGATGTGTCAGTACAGGGACAGCTATGTATGTCATTTTGTCCAAGCTACCGTTAATTATGTCATATCTGTACAGTTTATGTTCATGGATAAGAGATGTGAGCAAGGTAGTGATATTTCTAAAGTTTGCCACCTCTTCCTATGCTTTAAGTATATCTAAAGTCATAACTTTCTTTTTTTGGACAGAGAGCTGGAATCACAGCTGTTGGAGCAATGCACAGCAGACACAGGGACAGCCAAGGAGCAGAGCCTCCCATCTGTAATGAGTAAGATCATTTTCATTTCATAAGATAACTTGGCCTTTTTGAAAATGTTTTGTGTTATTGACCAAGTCCTTATGCTTTATTTTTCCAGGCAGTGTACCGGAAGAAATAGTGGAGGACATTAAAGGTAATGTTATGTTTTAAGCCGGGGTTTCTCAACCAGGGTTCCTCCAGAGATTGCTTAGGGATTCCTTGAGCAATGAGCAGTTTCTGCCTTTCGGTTAAGTTCCCACTGACACTGTTTGTCTTTTTAGCGATCTGTAAGGGGTAATTCTTCCCAATGACCACAAGTATAAGGAGCATTCTTCCCACTGCCCATCACACTAATGTATCCATGACTTGTAGGTATAATAATTTTTTTAGCACGGGTTCCTTGAGACTGGAAAGTTATTTCAAGGCTTCCTCTGTGTTAAGACATCTGAGAAAGGCTGCTTTAAGCAATGTAATTGGAACATCTTATCTGCTTGGGTCCCCTCCATTTGGTAATGCAGAGGGGAAGCTACTACCCACATCCATTACCTGGTTCCTGAAAGAAGATTATTCCTCTTGCCTTCTACACCATACATCCTTGTTCTCCAGTCATGTGTGGACACATGTCAAAACAAGGTTTTGGATTTTGTGTTGGAATTCTGATTCATCTTTGCTTATATAGATTGCTTATCATGAAGTAAAAGCAATAGCTTGCAGCCGGAATTGAAAGATACTAACAGACCACTGTGGATGACCCTTTCGGCACCACCCAGCTCGACAAATGTTAATCTGAGAATTGGAGAAGCTGGGCAGAAAATTCTCAGCTGAACAGTGACTACAGCCAAAAAGATGCAGTCACTGTGTGGGTAATCTGACAGCCATGGGAGCAGCGGCTCTCAGAATACAATAGCTGGAACTGGAGAAACAGCGTGGATGGGGGGGAATCCATTCATTTATCGTGTTCTGCCCCATGGGGGGATCTTCATGTGTTTGGGTAGACTTGGTCCTACTTGATCTATGAAAACCATTTAGTTCTTTTTTTTTTTTTTTTTTTTTTTTTTTTTTTCCCCTATTGTGATACTTATTTGTTCCCTAGTTCTTGGCATTTTGCAAATGGCTTTGTAACCATGCATTGCAACTAGAGGCCTGTCAGCCTGTGTATTGAAGCATTTGGGTTTCCCTATCTCCATGTACACTACCAGACCAAAGTTCTCAGTACGGAACTAAAAAGGATTACTAAATGAAACATACAGATGGAGGGTCATCAGTATTAGAACACAGCACATTCCAATAATGTAGTATATTTTTACAATTGTGATTTAATCTCTCTCGCTGCAGTGCGTGTTTGCTTTGTAAGTGACCTGCAGAGGGGGCTCAAAATCCAGGCCGCCAAGTTTAACATCGATGGCAGCTCAGAGGTAGGACCTGTAATGTGTGCTTTTTATTCATGATTATTGAAAGTGTTTTCCTAATTGCTTGTTGGATGTTTTTCAGCGCCCTGCTCCACCCCCTGATGTTGATTACCCACTAGATGGACAAAAGATTTTGCACGTCAAAGGAGCAATCAGGTTCGGTTAAATTTATTTACCACAGCTGAATCTCTGCTCAAGAAATAAAAACTTCTGTATTTTAGTTTTTTGGGATTTTTTTTTTTACTTCTGCCGGGCACTCCCGATTTCTATTCCCCTTTTATTCTGGTGACTAAATTTTCACCAGACAGGAAATAAGGGAAAATCGTCAACACCAACATAGACCAGAATAAAAATGGTCTACTCCAATTAAAGACCTCCGTCTCCCAAAGTCAAATTGCATACAAAGGACTTTCATACTGTACATAAAGCTATTGTAAAAGCTCCTGCTTCCGTCATGTCTGGAAAATGAGGGAGATGTCACCATGTTTTACGACTGTCCCCCAGGTAACCTGGGCATCATATTCCTGTGAGAATGTGCCCTTGCAATGGGCTGGAGTTCATTCTTATGGGAATACCCCAGCTTTTTCCAAGAGGTACAGTGATGTCACCTGTGCTTCCTGGAGCCAGTGAAAGCCAAGGTGATTTTTTTTTTTTTTTTTTTTTTTTTTAATTCCACAATAGGTTTTTTTTTTTAATTGTATTTATTTATTTTAACCTTAGCTTTGCAGATACAGGCTAACATACCTGTATATCAGCATGCATCGGCGGCCTGTGAGTGTACAGCAACCTGTCAGGCTGCTTGTACACTCAGACTGCTGTGCCAACCAGTCCCTGATCACTGCCCCAGTGTAGGGACAATAAACCATGCAGCCAGCCCTGTCACCTATCCCAATGTGCACAAAAACACCATCATACACCATACCAATGCCCTGATCACCGCCATACCCTGTACAAGCACCCTGATCACCGCCATACCCCTTACCAGCGCCCTGATCACCGCCATGCTAGCACTCTCTAATCACCACGATTTGCCATACCAGCACCCTGATCTCCGCCATACACCATATCAGCATCTTGATCACATGGTGTTTTACCATGTGATAGCTGTGTCCAGTCACTGCCATATCTCATGCTAACATCCTGATCACCACCATATCCCATACTAGCGGCCTGATCATTGCCATACCAGCGTCTGGCATTTTAGGGTTTAAATTGATCAGTTTTCATATATATATCCCATAGTTTATAGATGGTATAGCTTTCACACAGACTAAATAATATACACTGTTTTTGGTCATTTTTACCCTAAAATATAGCAGAATAGCAGCAAATACCCAACATTGTTTCTAATCCTTTGTATTTATTGTGTGTTTATGCATTCACAGTTGTGTGAACTTTCTTTTCTTAGGGATTCTGTTGTGGAGCTGCTTTTCGAGCAGGACAATGAAGAGAAGTCTGTTGCCACATTGATCTTAGACTCACTTGTGCAGGTAACAGCTGAAGAATTAATTTGTTTTATATACTGTATAGATTGTCTTCATTTCAGTGGTGTAGCCAGTGAAGGGGTCTGAATACAGTGTTTCCACAGTTAAGCAAGTCAAGTGAATAACCTCTTTAATAATTCCTAAAGACAACATTACAAAGTGGCTGGCAATAGAAAATCTCATAAAATCTGAAATTAAGACTTGAAGTGAACCTGTCATGTTATAAATACAGGACTGCCATTGATAATTTCCTTCTATAAATGCTATGTTATGCCGAGCTGTTGTCTTCACTATTCTTTGCATATGTGTTCCAAGTGAGGACCTCAGAGTACTAAAGCCAGGCAACTAGTGTTTTCAGGAAGAGAGGTCAGCAATGCCTTTAACTTCATTAAGGCCAGTGTAGATGACATTTGTTTGCTTTAGAACTGATTCTCTCTCTGCATAAATGTCTATGGAAGTGTGAATCCGCTTTAAGCAGGTCGGTAGCATACGAGTGAATTCTGGATGATCTCACAAGCATCCCAAACTAATGTAAAAAGTATAAGAGCAATAACCTGGTAGCCCTGTTCAACCATTGTCAAAGAAGGGCAACTTTTGCGTCTGTGTCATTTAACCACTTGCCTACCAGGCACTTATACCCCCTTATTTACCAGGCCAATTTTCAGCTTTCAGCACTGCCGCACTTTGACAATTGCACGGTCATGCAACATTGTACCCACATGAAATTTTAATCCTTTTTTTCTCACAAATAGAGCTTTCTTTTGGTGGTATTTAATCGCCACTGGGCGCTTTACTTTTTGCGCTATAAATAAAAAAAAAAATGCAAAAAATTTGAAGAAAAAAAAAAATTTCTTTGTTTCTATTATAAAATTTTTCAAACAGGTATTTTTTCTCCTTCACTGATGTGCGTTCATGAGGCAGCACTGATGGGCACTGATAGGCAGCACTAAAGGGCACTGATAGGCAGCACTAATGAGGTGTCACGGATAGGCAGCACTAATATGCAGCACTGATAGGCGGCACGGATAGGTGACACTGATGATGGGTACTGATAGACGGCACTGACTGGCATCACTGCTGGGCACTGACTGGCGGCACTGACTGGCACAACCCCTGGGCACTGGTGGGCGGCACTGGTGGGCGGGCACAGGTGGGTGGCACTTCTGGGCACAGGTGGGTGCACTGCTGGGCACAGGTGGGCGGAACTTGCGGGTGGCACTGCTGGCCAACGATCAGCAGGGCACTGATCATCAGTGCCCTGATGATCGGTGCCGATCCCCGCTCTGACAACTGCCGGTTCTCGGCAGTACTTTCCTCACGATTTGACAGCGTGAGGAAAGTGCAGCCGAGAACCGGCACTTGCATTTCCCTCTGATCAGCGTGTCATTGGACACCGCTGATCACATGGTAAAAGGCCGCTGTGATTGGCCTTTTACCACATCACGTGATCAGCTGTGTCCGTAGGACACAGCGATCACGGAGATCGCCGGGTGCGCGTTCTGGGAGGACGTCATATGACGTCCACTCAGAACTGGCCGGCCGCAGTGCAGCCGTCATTCGGCTATCTGCGGTCGGCAGGTAGTTAAGTGAAGTTGGAATGTTTCTGACACTTTCATTCAGCGGCCAAACTGGAGATGTGGTTGTTGGAGGATTATCAGAATATTGGGTTTAAAAAAAAAAAAAAAAAAGAACTAAAGAGTGGTATTACCGTTTTAGGTATTGCATCTTCATATATACAACTAGCAGACATCTGTACAAGTAGTGGTATGAATATATTGATGTTGGTTTCCAGAGCAAGTTCAGTAAAGGCTTCTACTCATCAGAAGGAAGTGAGTGGGCCACTAGAATATGTTTCAGTTCAGTTAGTAGTGTTCTAAGGAGGGGCCTGCCCTGTGTGTTTCTTTTTACGGTAGATGAACATCCTTCATTAGATCATCTGAGTTATACTGTAGCTGGGAGTGGAAAATGTAGTTCAGTAACAATTTCCTTGTTTGTTGTTTTTCATAATCTGATATCTGTGAAATGGAAATGAGAATTATTTCAACTCCCAGTTGGATCCCCATTTACAATTGATATCCGTTTCTTCTCTGTCCAACAGTGTCCAATAGACACCAGGAAACAACTGACGGAAAACATTGTGGTTATTGGTGGCACGGCAATGCTGCCAGGATTTCTTCATCGGTTAATGGCAGAGATTCGTTACTTGGTGGAAAAACCAAAATATAAGGAAATTCTGGCATCTAAGACCTTCAAGGTTCACACTCCTCCAGCAAAACCAAACTGTGTCTCCTGGCTTGGAGGTATTGTAGACGGAGTATCATAGACCCCTAGTATAGTAGTGTATATGAAGCCAAAATTCTTCCAAAATGATCAGCTGTTCAGGTGACATTTGTCTAAGAGGAGATATCACCTTGGTTTGGGGGAAAAAAAAAGAAATTGTTTATACACAAAAAAAAATCCTATGCAGAAGTGGTGGGTGTTTTACTTCATTCACAGCAGCAAACAGTGCAGATAAGTTCAGAGGCCCTTTTTCTTTGTCATTCATTCTTAAAGTGGAACTGAAAGCACTGTACTTACCTCCTGTGTAATGACCTTGGTCCCTCACCGATACCGGTCTTCGGACATCTCCATTGGACTGTGCGGGATGACATAACTCCTACGCATGTGTTGGAGTCAGTCATCCTGGCATACAGGGACGGTGCCGGAGATAAAAGCTGAGCTGCACATTTATATGCCACAGAAGATTGCTAGCAGGCAGGTGTATTTTATTGCAGAAGAAAAATTGCATGTCTGTTCTGCGATAACATCCTGTCTGCTCACAGTCTGTTGTAAAATGCCTTCAGTTCTGCTTTAAGGAAAGGAATCATTTTAATTGTATCATTACATTTGATCTGAAAGTGTGAGAACATCATCCACGGTGTATCTTGATGCACCTTTTCTGGTCAGGGATTAGGTAGCACTCCCATTTTCACGCCTGCATTGAGCCAAGCAAATGTTTCTGGTATTTGTTGATAAAATGCAGTGGTAGAGGCTTACTAGACCTGGTTCAGCTGTGCATGGTACCCAATTGGATTCTAGGATTTATTGTCAAAGCTTAACTGAACAAGTCGAAGTTAGAAGCTGATTGGTTACTATGCACAGCTGCACCATATTCTGTGTTCGCTAGTTTTAGTAAATCTCCCCCAGTGTGTATGATGGAAAATCTATGTCATAACAAAATATATATTTTAATGGGTTTTTTTTTTTTTTTTTTTTCCTTTCTATGTAGGTGCAATATTTGGGGCTTTACAAGATATTCTTGGCAGTCGTTCTGTATCTAAAGAATATTATAACCAGACTGGTCGTATACCCGATTGGTGCTGTTTAAACAACCCTCCTCTTGAAATGATGTTTGATGTTGGAAAGTCAGCACCCCCCTTGATGAAAAGAGCCTTTTATTGTACCCTTCACTGCTAGGGAGACTGTTGTTTTTATATGAAGTATTTTGCCTTGTTACACAGGGGATACTTCAGTTTGTTGAGTTACATTAAAGTGCTATCTAACTGCATATCTTATTAGGATAACTTGGAGCTTTCCTTAGTCACTGTAGAGGTAATTTATAATTTGATGGTGAGTAACATTACATGCTAACATCCCTGAAATTACAGTGAACATCCATCCCTGAATGTTCTCTTCACCTGTGTTCACCACAAGACCAACAGCGGGGGAAATTTACTAAAACTGGAGCATTCAGAATCTGGTATACCTGTGCATGGTAGCCAATCAGCTTCTTTCTTCAGCTTGTTCAATTAAGCTTTGACAATAAAATCTGAAAGCTGATTGGCTTCTATGCAGAGTTGCACCAGATTTTGCACTCTCCAGTTTTAGTAAATATTCAAAAAATACAGTGCTCTAATCTAGAACACATTAAACTGTTACTGTAATAAAACCAAGTGTATATAAAACAAACATAAATGTGTGTAGATAATAGTGTAGTGTGTAAGTGATGTACACAGCACAACAACTTCATTGTTAATCACAGAAATGTCTGTTAAATCCCATCATTTCCGTAAATAAAAAAAAAAAGCTTGTGCCACAAAAAAAATTAATGCGATATTTATACAGCTGTGCACTTCATCCAAATTACGTGGCTCACGACGATAGCGCCTTCATATGGAAATAAACTCACCGATTTTTAATGGCCCCTTATATACAATAAGCAGGTCAGACAGCGCTTGCTGAATCATAATAATCCATTACGGAAAACATCTCCTATAAATAAAGGCAGATGAAAGATCCAAATAGCATCATTCCTTTCCTATTACTGCATACGAGAAAAACAGATAACAGCTGATTTTTCTTTCAGCACACACAGTAATGTGTACATCTGAGCATAACGATGTTACATTGCTTTGCTCTGCCCTATGTATAGTGTGTGTGGTGTATATAGGCATTCATGGTCACCAGAGCATTGAATTATTTCTCAAGTTGATATGTATTGACTGTGAACCCACTACAAGGTGCGGTGGAAGCCAAGTTGTGTGTACTGCATTCGCTATTGATGTTTTGAGCAGAACCACAGTCATAATCTACTTGAGTAGTGTGACATGTTGAATCTGTATCAGCATTTTATTGCTCCATCCAAATAGGCTTAGCAACAACAGCAAAGTATTTGATTCTGGGACCAATAGGCTTCAAATATAAGAATTTACTAACAGCCACACATGTCCCTGAGACATGAAACTAGCAGCAATATGAATAACTTAAAAATGGCACCTTCCCCAATGTGTCGTTTGTTCTTTTGACCTTGTATTTGCATAATAGTTTATGGTTTAAATCTTGCATCGCTAGAAAAGGCTGCAGTGCTCATGTGTGAACCCTGCTTTTGTGTGGGGACGGATGCACTAAATGTTTGTATTTAATAGATTCAACTTACTACAGTTGTGTCTTTGCACTGTTTTCCTGTTTAACTTTTTTAAACAATGCTGTTCCTGCATATGCTTGCAAGTCCTGGACAATAAACAGTCGATATGGCATTGCAGAACATTTTGTGAGTGCTTCTGAACTTACAGGTATCAAAATCATTGCAGCCTGCTATGCTTCCTAGGATCTCCTCTAAAAAGGGGCTGTATTGGGTTTATGTAAACTAAATCCACAGCACAAGGGTGGATATGCAGTAGGTTTGGAAACCATATTTGGTGCTAGTTGTCCTTTAACCACTTGCCCTCCTGAGGATTTACCCCCCCTTCCTGACTAGGCCATTTTTTGCGTTACGGCACTGTTACTTTACCTGACAATTGCGCAGTCATGCAATGTCGCACCCAAATGAAATTTACATCCTTTTTTTTCCCACGAAATCAAACTTTCTTTCAGTGGTATTTGATCGACTGCATGTTTTTTTTTTTTTTTTTTTTTTTTTGGTTTTGTTTTGTTTTGTTTTGGTTTTTTTGTGGCATAAACAAAAAAAGACTGATGATTTTGAGAAAAAAAACAACAATATTTTGGACTTTTTGCTATTAAACATGTCCAGTAAACATATTTGTAAAATCCAATTTTGTCATAAATTTAGGCCAAAATGTATTCTGTGACATGTCTTTGCTAAAAAAAAATCCAAATATGTGTAAATTAATTGGTTTACGTGAAAGTTATAGCGGTTACAAATGGCAGTATAGATAATGGGTTTTGTTTTCCTACTAGTAATGGTGGTGAACAGTGGGACTGTGGCAGACATTCTGACATGGGGGGGAACTAACTTGGTGTCACTGACACCCCAGTGACACCAATACAGTGATCAAAAAAGCACGGACACTGTACTAATGGCACTGGGCAGGAAGGGGTTAATGTGACGGGCGATCAAAGGGTTAACTTTGTGCTGGGAGTTTTTTTTACTAGGGGGCTGGGGGTATGTTCTTCACTGTAAGCACACTGCTCGGGATGGCTGTACTCTGCACAGCCATCCTGAGCAGTGTGCTCGAGCTGACGGAGGAAGATTGTTTTGTTTACAAACAATCTTCCGCCCCGTCAGTGATCGCTGGTAATCACTGGGCGCCGGCGGGTAATTACCGGCGGGACCCAGTGATTGACATCTGCGGCCGCGAATGGCACGCCCCCTATCCAGAAATGCAAAATGACGTCTGTATATATATACGTGATTCTGCGCACAGGTGCCACCCTGTAGCAGTATGTCTGCTATAGGGCGGTCCTTAAGCGGTTAAAACCCTATACATCAGTCAATAGTATCAATAACACTTTACTCTAAAATTCCCCTTTAGCCTAATGTAGCAAAGGGAAATTTACTTTGTTGCCTATAGCAACATCTTTTTGCTTTTAGGCGGTATTAGGAAACAAAAAGGGAAATCGGACTGATAAGCAGCTTCAACTGTTCTTGCTTTAGAGGTTTTCTGATAATTCTTCACTGTAAGGAGCTACAATTGGTTACACAACATCTCCCTGGCCACAACCCAGTATTCATATGATGCCCTACATTATGCAGCACTTACAGATTATTAAAATCTAACTGATCACTGTTTATGGTCCTTAATCAGCATGATATTCCTTCTTTTAAAAAAAAAAAAAATCACATTCACCTTTGTAACATTCTAACATCTGTCAGCTATGTGTCTCTTGTCTTTGTTGGTTATGCTTGCCACTGATAGTTCTAGCATCTCGTCTTATATTTTCTCCCATGACAGAGTTTGGCATGCAGTTTTCTCATCTCAGAGGGTGTCACTTCTCAATGCTGGTTTCTGCCAGTGGTAGGTGCCAGCGTGGACCAAGTGGAGTAATATCCAGTATGCAAGTGTCTGCGAGGCACACTGGCCCCAAGGGAAAAGGTGCCCACTCTGCCCTGTTCTCTGGATGGAGATGGGGACATCTTTTGGAGTACAAACTACACACTGGGACTAATCCTTCTGATCCCCCGTGTTTCCCCTGCAGCTGCAGGCGGCTTCTCTCCCCTCCCACCAAATTCGGTGCAGCAACAAAAGCCACACAGAGGTGTATGTCGGGTTAGCTCTGGTTGTGCCCCTTCCCTGCAGCAATGTGGGTTGGCTTCCCCCTCCTCCCCTTTCCAACCAACACAGCAGCTGCTGTTGTGGCGGAAGATTGGTGTCAGGATGGAGACTGTGTGGGGGGCTGGGTCGAGGGCTGGTAAACATGTTTACCATCCCCTTCCTGAATTAACACAACAATGAGCAATCGGAACCAAAGCTTCCTAGGATAAGTAATGGGGCGGCCATTGCTGACCTTTTTCAATTGATAGTTGCATAATTGTTATGCTGATTCACTTGGCTTTAATACTTTGAGGTACTGTACCTGTTGATCCTGCCAGTAGGTATTCCCTTACAGCCAAAGAAGCGGCCATCTTAGCCTAGTGGTAAAACTCCGGCTTAGCTGCCTGTTTTTACCACCCCCTGACCACTAGTGAGAAGGAGGCCTTAGGGGGTTGAGACAAACCATTTAACACTGGCATGATTGCTTACATTGGTCAGTTTTTAGTCATTTATGTCAAACCTCCCCCCCCCCCCCCCCCACCACCAAAAACCCCAGCCCCAAAAAAAAACAGGTGCTTTAACTGCTTTTAAAAAGTCTTCACTGGAGTACAAACTGAAAAAATCTGCTGACACATCTAACTATGCTCTCCCTAGATTGACGATGTTTCATTCCAAAAGATGTCTCCTTTGCATCTCCATCCAGAGTTGAGATTCCCTAAAAGAAAGAGTTATTGGCCTGACAACCAAGTGAAAATAAAGAAGAAAAAAAAGAAACACATGCAGCCACCACATTTAACCACCTCCTGCCCGCCATATAGTCCAATGACGGGCGCAAGGTGGTTCTCTCGTTCTGGGAGGACATCATATGACGTCCTCCCATTCTCACCGTGCATGCGCAGCTCAGGGAGCGTGCGACAATCAGCGGTGCGTTGTGTCCCTTGGACACAGCGGATCACCGATCCACAGAAAGAGCCGAAGATGTCGGCTTGGTCATGTGATCAGCTGTGTCCAATCACAGCTGATCACATGTAAACGGAAATGCCGGTTATCGGCATTTCTCTCCTCCCGAGCTCTCACGCTGACAGCTCGAGAGGAGAGCCAGTAATCGGCATTCTGCGGAGGGGACATATACACTGATCATCAGAGCACTGATGATCAGTGTGGCCCCAGAAGTGCCACCTGTCAGTGTCCATCAGTGCTAGCTGTCAGTGCTGAACAGTGCCATGTGCCAGTGCCAATCAATGCCACATATCAGTGCCTACCAGTGCACATCAATGCCACATATCAGTGCCCATCTGAGCTGCCTTTGAGTGTCACCCATCAGTGCCAGTCAGTGCCACCTATCAGTGCCTCCTTATCAGTGTCCGCATCACTTCAGCCTCATTAGCGCACATCAGTGAAGGAGAAAAATCACTTATTTACAAAGTTTTATAACAAAAACTAAGAAAAAAATATTTTTTTCAAAATTTTCAGTGGTTTTTTGTT